TTTTATGCAAAAAAAATTAATAACAACTTTGTTCTAAAGTTCATAACAAAGGTTTTGAACATAAAATATACTTATTGCTATCTTTACAATAGTATAATTTATTTTTTAAGTAATAAAATTTAGTTTTGGAGTGTATGTAGTTTTATTTTGTCTAAAAATTCTATTATTTTTTAAATAATTATTAAATTATTTAAACACATAATCACTTCTATTGTATCTATGTAACATCTTAACTTTAGATACACTTTGTTTTTCAATAAATATCTTGAATTCCTAAAACCTCCAAAAATATTTGTTTTAGGCTTTAAGAATGGAGATCCAATTTTTAAAATTAAAATATTTAATAAAAAAGAGAAAATATCTTAATCTTTTTATACTTATAGTCTTTATTCATTTAGATATATCAAAATAGACAATTTCCAATAACTTGGTAGCACATTTTGTAATACTACTTCAAAATAAGGTACTTTTTTTATTTGTCTTATATAAAATTTTCATATGAAATTTTCATTATATTTTACTTTTTATTTATTCATTTTAAGATCCATATCTTTAACTGTAGATTAGAGTTTTTTTCTTTTTTCTTTTTTCTTCACATTTAAATAATCAAGGTAAAAATGCCATATATTTAATTTATCTTAGTGTATTATAAATTAAATAAATTAAATTACTTCTATTATATTTACTTTATAATTAAAATTATAAAATTACTTCTTCAAAGTCCTTCACAATTATGTCTCCATTGAATATTTTTACAAAATTTCTATTTTTATTAAAAGACCCGTAAAGTCTTTTATTAGAAGTTAATTCATCAAAAGTAGATTTTTCTTCATTTTGGATATATGAAGAAGGTCTTTGAATTTAATTCTATTTATTTTTTCATTTACAAACAACTCTATTATAATAGAGCCAATTCTAATGGCTTTATTTGGACTATTATTAATAAAGATCACATTTGATGTTAGAGTTGCCTCATAACTATCAAATAAATGCTTATAAAGTGTTATATGCTTGAAACAACTCAAATCCACAATTGATCTTGACATGGCTTCCAATATTGTATTCTCTCTTATTATTTTCTTATATTTGTAGTAATTTGAGCAAGATTTTGTAGTTCCCTACAAATAAAGAAAATTTTAATATTACTTCTTTAGTTTGATTATCATTCCTTATCTTGTTGTGAGTAAAGAGCTGAATTCTCACTTTAAGGTTTGTTTTCTTTTCTCTTTGTTACTTTAAATCTAAGACTTGTTGTTATATAGTCTATTATAAGTTCTTTCATTTTGATTGATTCTAAAGCCTCAAAGAAGTAATTTTAGGGTTTAAGCAAAGTCATAAGTAGAGTCATGACAACATCTACATCTTTTAAAGACTTTTGTATAATTCTAAATTGATTTGCAAATGCCTTTATTATTATGATATGTGCCATAAGGTCTTCATCTTCTTCCATCTTATCAGTGAAGAATTTCTTTTTTGATTAGAAAGTGATAGAAATATTTTTACCCTTATAGGTATTTCAAAGAATCTTCTATTTTTTTCTTTTTCTTTTATGTGTAATTATGTGGAAAAATTTGACTTTATCAATATTAATTGCAAATAATCTAAATACCTTTTGCTTACTGTATTGGTATTCTTTCTTCTTTTTCATATTATAATGTATACTTGGAAGCTCTTCATTAATATTTATAATATTCCAAAGATCAAAAGAAACCAACAAAACCTTCCAATGGTAGAATTTATTACTTCTAAACTTTTCAATCATTCTTAATCTCTTAGCTTCACTTAAAATCATATTTATAAATTTTTCAATAATTATTAATCCTCTAGATTTACTTTAAATCATATTTATAAAAGAGATGTATAAATAAATAACAAGAGAAAGAATCCTTAAGCTTTTAAAATAAACAAAAAGATGTGGTTGATACAAAATCTTTTTTGTTTTTGTTTTTGTTTTTTTTTTTTTTTTTTTGTGAACAAACTATTATTTTAAGTTTGAAAACACTTTAAACTTTACTTCCAAGATTTTTCAAAAGTCCTAGTAATAATATAAATCTCACAAATCAGATTTTCCACTTTTAGATCACATTTGTGCTCACATATCACCTTTGAGTACCATAAGATGCCTTTTAAATATCTTAGGCTTCTATCACAATCAAAAATATAGAGATAGTTTCTTAAAGATTTAACTAAACAAGATAATATAGTATAAGTATCCTAAAATATTTATTTAAGGTATAAAGCTAACACTAAATTTAAAATACTCTTAATCATAAGTAAGTGCAAAATAAGAATTAGATTTAAATCTCAATTTGAAAGTTAGAAGATCTAAATTCTTAATATCAACAACAATAAGATAATTTCTTATTCACAATAACAAAAGACTTCAAAAAACATCAAAAACACAAAGAAAAGTTTTTGTGTCCATAATTTATTAAAAAAATATAAGTGAAAAGTTTCTAAATATAATATTAATAAGGTTATACACAAAAAAAAATTTGGAATAAGATGAATTTCACTTCCAACAATCTTTACCAATATAGAGATGAATTATATTTGATGTCATATACTATGAATTTTTTTTTTTAATCAAATGTTAGATTCCTCTTAATTTAACTGCTATCCAAAATTCAAGCCACAAGTCTAATAATTTGTCTTAAGGCCTTGCTACTTTTTAACCATTAGCAAGTTACTAAAGTAAAACTTTAAGTGGTAGTAACTAAACTGAGATTTATTAATCATCAACAATAGTAAGGTTTATTCCTAATATTTTAAATATCCTTAATTATATTAAAATACATATAACTTAAAATGAATCATTATGTAGTAATATTTTAATATTATTTATTAAATATTTTCTAAAATATTATTATTCAAAAGAATTTAATAATTCATATTAGGATTATTAGATTTAATCCAATTAAAATAAAAATAAATATAAATAAATTTTAATATTTAATTTTTTATTCTTTATAATTTCATTATTTTTTATTAAATTTAAGATAGTTTGTAAGATTTCATAAATTATAATAATAGATGTTTATAATTTGATTTTAAATAATAAACATCTTGAAAAGATCTTATATTCTACTTATAAAGTAAATAATATGTTATACAAATAGTAGAAAAAAATTGGTCAATATAATTTTTATACAGTAGAAACCAATATTAGAAAAATTGATTTATACAATATAGACCAAAGCATATTGTATAAATCATAGACTTGGTTTATACATAAATTGGTTTATATAATTAGTGTTCTAATTAATTTCTAATTGAATAGGACATCCAAATAGAGTTTATATATATATATTCTTGTATTGCTAAATATTCTTATATCTTTTTTTTTATAAAAGTAGAATAAGAAAATTATAATATACAATCAAATATATTAAAAATCACATTTTTAAATAATATATTTATTTCAAAATATATATTTTTAATATTAAACTACTTATAGATAAATTATGAATTCAAATAGAGCTTTAAAAATAAACTATAACTTATACAAAAAAATTATATAAAAAATAATTCAATAATCAATTTTCTTTATTAAACTAAAAAAAAAACATGTATTTGTGGTTTTAATTAGTAATATTTAATTCAATATATAATATAATATGCTAATTTTAAATGCAAAACTGAATGTGACTTGAGATTGTAATGTATGATAGTATAATTACAATATGCTTAAAGCCTTTTCATATTATAGGCTATCAATTTAGTTGGAAATATTGGCAAAGCATAACAAATGATTAAGACATAAATTAATATTCATTGGAAATAAATAAATTTCATGTATAATAACAACCATTACTGGTGTTGATTATTATTTTGATCTAATATGAACATAAAGTGTTCAGATAATTTGTATTAATGCACTACCCCAAATTAAAATGATCTTATTACCTTCACAAATATTACCTTGTACATGTCATCAACCATCAACGAATTCATACTAATAGCAACCAAGCAAACTATAATGCAAGTCAACAAAACAATTACTCACACGTCAAGCACACCTTAAGAGTTAAATTCATTCTGTTAAAGACCTGGGCTCCAAAACAATAGAACCATATCATTACACCATGGATTTGCAAGTAAAAATAATTAAATGCTGACATGTCAGTACAAGTGGCCAATTTCTCATAACTGCTTGATGGTTTGGTGATAAATTCCTGTGTTTGAATGTACAATTGAAGCCTCCACCATGCACCACACAAGCTATGCAGTAATATATATATATATATATATATATATATATTTTTTGTTTGTTTGTTTTTTGGTAAGAACCATGATCAACTAATTTGTACTCATGTATGTTTTCATAAATATAAATATAAATATACTGCCATGAACATATATTCTGGTTGAACTTGGTGGGTTAGGGTTTGGATGGCAGTAAAAATTATGTACATGCCCCCTCAAAGGCAGCTCTTTGTGGTACCAATGATGGTAGCAATTTTCTACATGGAAATGTATATATGAATATATTTGAAAAAAATGTAGATTGTATGCTGAGTTTTTGATTTAAAAAAATTGGAAATTAATTTGCATAAATTTGAACATGCAAATAACCCTCCACAATTATTTTTTAAAAAAATATACTGATTTTACATCGCATTTATAGATTTTTTAGCTATATTTTTGTTTTCACAGGTGAATATTTATTCACGTATTTGATTTGGAACCTTGTCAATATGTAACGATAATAACAAAAAGAATTTACTTTATTTGATTTAATTTTATTATTTTATTATCTAAAATTTCTGCAGCATGATGTAATTTTAAAATATATATAATTACATACAAATAATTAGATAATAAAAATGATTTAAAAAGTTATTAAAACCCATCCAGAGGGTTTACACCGCACTAGACGTAGAAGGGGATCCCGCTAAAGTGAGGATACCGGGGCGATACCCCACCGGAAGAACAGCCCCCGGCACGGCACACGACGACGCAATCTTCTCGCCACCCACTTTCCACAGCAGCCACAAAATCACGCTGCGCGAGAGTGCGTGCGAGAATCGAAGAGCGAGAGCAGGAATCGCAGGAAATCGATGCAAGCATCGCCGGCAGATTGTCCACTGGCCACGCACTGCAACACTTGGCACAGATGTGTCCGCACCGCATCGCCGTGGCCGCATCCATCACACACTGCTGGATGTGAAGTTTCAAGCTTTGCAAGGAACGGAGCGGCGGGCGCTGCGCGGCGCGGCACTTCGTGTAGTTGCGCCGTCCAGTTGTGTCTGCAGTGAAGACCCATCCAGGATCCTAGTCTTAGTTGTTGTTGATTGGACTCACTGAGTGCATTGCCACTGTGTGTAGTGTCTCGAGGGTCTTCTGTTTCGTCGGAGTTTAGCTTAGGGGTTTTGTTGCTGGCGGAGCGGTACTGCTCACGGTTTTTTTTTGTAAGCCTAGTTTTGGTGGCAATGGCGGCAGCGATGGGAAGCGCCGCTCAGGTTATGTTGCTGGGTTTGCAACCGGTTGGGGCGGTCAGCCAAGCGGCTGCTCCAGTTTGTGTGAGAGTCGCGGTTGGACAGCAGAGGGATACGAGGGGGACCGTGGGAGGAAGCGGCGGTGTTTTTCAGGCGAGGCTCGGAGGTGGTGGTGGTGGTGCCGGTGTGTTGGAGCGACCGAAGCTGGACCAGAGCGGCTCCGACACGACTCCCAGGACTGAAGAAGGTGTGTTACCTTGGATTAACCTGGAGATTGATTGAGTCATCTGTTGTGGATCTATTCACTTGGCCTGCCTGGACTGGTTCGTGGCAGTGATTGCCAAGCAGTGGATGTACTATAATCTGCTTAGAAAATTCAATCCTGAGAGAGCGAGCGAGCCAACTATAGAGAATAGAATAAAAAAAGTCGATGAGATTTACGCGAAGGTTTTGACGAATTTTGAAGTAGAGATTTGCTTCACGTTTCCTGATAAAACTGGTCTTTTCCCGGTTTCATCTGCAGTTGTTTAGAAATTCTCCAGTTTAACTCTGAAGCTTTTCCTGTGTCGTATCCGAAAACATGTACGTATCAAAGTTTCTAATGGCAGTTAAGCTCTCTATCAGGAGAGTTGCTTAGTAGGTTCCTACTGTTGTTACTGAGAATGTGAATCTCAGGACTTGCCATGGAATCGGAAATGATGCCCCAAACCTTGCCCTAGCTTTACTTTTGTTTTTGGGAAATCACATTTACATCGGTTTGCAGGAGGGGAGAGTGGTAGAGCAGCGCAGCGGAACCGAACAGGTGGCGGCGAGCGCTACCGCGTGCTTCTTCTCGACCATGAACGTCACACTGAAACATACGGTCGGTTTTAGAAACTCCTGTGCCTCTTTCAAGCTTTTGACAGTTTTTCAGTTTGAGTTGCTGTGAAGACTCAATTTCTGTGACTCTATATGGGGGCGACAGGCAGCAGCTAACAACCGCATTGGTATTATCGTGCAGTTGCAAAAGCTCTCACCAAAGCGGTGCCTAACATCACAGCTGAGCAGGCGAGGAAGTGCTTCTTTGAATCACGGCTTATCGGCAAGTCCGTGGTTATGGTGGCTGTGAAGGTTCGCATTTCTTTCCTTGGTCTCGTGCCGAGTAATATCCAAGCTTTTTAATATGTTTCTCAAAGAGCCATCACTCAGGAGATTTGACTAGATTTCAAAAGAAACCGATAGTGCGTAACATAAGCGACAACGTAGATCACAGTGGTTACATGTTAAACTTATGATAAGTAGTTCTGCTAGCCTGGAGTCCCTCCGGCTTGCTCTGATTTTCCTTTTGCTCTCCCAGGGCTTATGGTCTCTGTGGTATGATCTCCAGGAGCACGCAGAGATGCACGCTTTTAGCATGGCTCGCTATGGCCTTCGCTCAACTATTGAACCGGACGGGAGTGTCATGTAATCTCGACTTTCGACGCGGTATCTCCATGTCAAGAGCACGACTACCTATTCGATGTATTCTATTCAGCACTCAGTCTAGATCCAATATTCGTCTGCACTCCCGGGAATGGATAGACGAGCTAGAGTGTGCTTTGGTTATTTCTACATTCGAGTGTGAAGAACAGTTTCGATTTAGTAACGGTTTCGAGAATTTTTCCACAGTGACCACGGATCTGTATTTACTGGGAGATACTTCCCTATATATGAGATACACTATTTTTTTGTGCAAGTTTTATGTCCACAGTCGTGACCCATGATGGGCAAGGCATGTGACACTACCGAGTAGTGGAATAAACGAGTGCTCTGTGTTTTTTTCAGACCCACACATCCACGTTTAACTCTAGAAGTTTAATTTTCAGCTGGGAGCTGTGAACCGTGCTGAACAAAGTGTCCAGTTAATGTGTTTGATGTTGATCCACATGACCCACATGATCCTAGACTTTGCCAACTTAGTCCTGTGCAATTGAGACCCAGCAGCATCAATTCCTGCATAGAAAAGTGCAGAAAAAGCCGTATTGTGAGTTCTCGCTCAACTCACCAGGAGTGACATCGCCGAAGAGTGAATATGTCATGCTTTTTATTTTATTTATTGTGTTTTTATTCTGATGGTGGAAAGCCTGCAGATGTGAGGTTCTTTTGTAAGATCACAATGACACTGTTTCATCAAATCATGCAACATGTTTTTGGTCGGTGTTTAGTATAGTTGGTACCTTGGCGTGTATCATCATTTCTACGTGATTTGAGAGTATGTGTTGTCATTTTGAGTGTTAATGGAAGATTTTAGTATATATATATATATATATATATATATATTTGGTGTTACATGAATCTAATAAAATGCATTTTATTTTAGAAAATAAAAGTACATCTAAATAAGTAATAGACTTCAAAAATAAATAAATAAAAGTTAAAATTGTAGTGTCTTAATTTTAATGGTGTTGTTTGGTTGTGAAAAATTTACTTATGTGTTACATTGATTTGCACACTATATGTATATATACATATATATAGACTTTTCATTATCATTCCTTTTTAACAATAAGTTCTCTTTATTTTTTTTATTATATTCTATGTTATAGATTTTTTTAATAATATTATTTGGTTAAGCACATGCATGCATAAATTGTTGTGCAAAAAACTTTTGACAATAGATTTCTTTTTCAATATTTTATAAATAAATATGATCCAAATATATATATATATTTTTTATGTTTTTTATTTAAAAATTTATAATTTAATTTAATCTAATTTTAATAGTGTTGTCATTTATCCTTATAATAACACTATTAAAATTGATAAATCACATGTAGTTTATTTTTAAGTTAGCAAACTTATTGTATAATGGTAGACAATTCTTTATGATAAGAAGTATAAATATCATCTTGCAAATTTGTTAGAGTTTAATTCTATTCTAATCCTAAAGACTCAAAATTAAAAATAGAACCACACAAATAGATGTGATTAAAAGAAAGTTATTTATAGTCAACAATACTATTGAGTAATCTCTAAATGCACAAAGGAGAGGGAGGGTGATAAAAAAAACTAATTTTATATTCTTATTTTTTACAATACATATTTAAGTATTTAAATGGTCATTATTTAGCATTGCATTTATTGCCCTTCTGAATTATTTTTAAAAATTAAATTAAATTTCCATCTCTATATCTAAAGTATCAATAAGATTTTGTGCAAAGAAATTATCAATAGTAATGCAACTTACTTTGTAAAGATTGTGATAGGATTGATTACTACCATTTAATATAAGAATTAGAATTGTTTTAAATGTTTAGTATTTATAATTTTGTTCTTTGTCTTTTTTCAAGTAGAAATATGTTTTTGCTCTAATCAATTAACTTTATTTTTGTATAAGTATTGTTTACTATCGTCAATTTTTACATCTTGTGGTCATGTATGATTTTTTATCTCTTGTTGTTCTTTACTTTGATTAAATTACATATCCAATTTATTTTATTTTATTTTTAAGCTAACTTTGACTCTTTTGGTTTTCTATAATGTATAATATGAGTACGATATTTTGGAATAAATGGATAATCTATTGCATTTACTTATATTTTGTTTAGGTTGATACTTCTAATTTACTTTATGTTCTTTTTATTACAAATAGAAACTTATGTTTTCTACCAATACACCTAAACTTATTAGAAAAATCAATATTTTTTACTTCAAAAGAAATCATTTTTAGAACTGAAATGTTGGAATCTCTAATCTTAATATTAATATTTTAAATAAATAGCATTTAAGAATAACATATAAATCTCATCTATTACATCATTATTAATAATACAATTGTTACTTCTTCAAGTTCAAGTTCAAAGCTTAGATTGTATCATAATATTAATGTTCCTAGGCTATACAATATTCCTTGACATTCTATTAATAATTTGTATATTCTTTATCTTATCAAGAAATTAGAATTATTTTGGTTTTTAAAAAATAAAGAATACAACTTAAATAACTTATATGCCTATTTAAGAGATGCCTACAAAAGCAATTCAAGAAAGTTCTATCATCTTGTTGCAAAGCAAAGCCACTAATTTAAACATTATCAAAGGCCTGTTCTTTCCACACCATTTCAATGTGGTGTCTATTTGGCCCACTCAATGTTTTAAAATTATTTCCAGAACATTGCTAAAGAATTCAAAGTTGGTAAAGAGTTTTGATTGGCTCAATGAATTTCTTTTCTTTTTGTTGAAATTGTATTTATTTGCTTGTTATTCATTCAAGTAAGAATGCGGTTTAAGCGCAGTCAGTTCACTGTTTTGTTAAAACTAGATAATCAACACCAATAAATGAAAAAGTCAACATCAATTTAATATGTTGTAAGAATTTAATTGTACAATGTTTTATATAGTAAATGTAATAAAGGCACACTCAGCGATGAATATTGATTCAAGGTTTTAATGCATATCATAAATGTATTATTTATTTTTCCACAGTAACCATCTTTGACAAGCTTTAGAAAAAAGAAATAAAGAAACAAATCAAAATTCAATAAAGTTGTTAACAATCACAAACTCTTACTAATAACATTGAAGTTTGAAATGACATCATATTTTTATTCAAAATTATGGTTGGACCCAAAATTATTTTATTGATGTATTAACAAATAATAGTTGTTAACAATTTATTTTTAAGTAAACCAATTTATTTTTTTATAAATGTAAATAGAACAGAATTCATATTGAGCTTGTTCCATCCTACATTTCGATCTACATGTATTAAGGTTTTTTCTAAGAAAATTGAGTATTTAATGTACTTATATATATATATATATATATGCATATTTTGTATATATTAACATATTTTGAATAAAAATCTAATAATAAAGAGAAATGCTATCAATCATATGTACAAAATTTGTCAATTAAATTTTGGAGTTCTACAAGCTACTTCAAAAGTAGGACTCAAGCATAATTCTTTAAAATGTGTTGAAAATGTTTGGAATGACACAAGAGTAGTAGTAAGTAATATGCACACACACAAGAGAGTTTCTAAGGAGAGAAAGAGCTTCACACAACAAAATCTATTGATCTGGTTGTGTCTCATATACAAGAGGAGAAGGAGAGAAGATAAAGATTTCTTCTTAACTTCATTCCAAATATTGTAGCTATGGTATTTACTATAGACTACAATAAATATTATGAAGAGTACCGGCTACATTTAATGCTCTCAACACTCCTCCTTGTTCATCATAATATTTATATAATATAAAATTTGTGTAAAATTATAATCTATATTTTTCTATAATCTCGTAAGATCAACAATTGTTGCCTCATTAAAACCTTATCTAGGAAAACCTTATTGTATTCAAGGGCAAAACCATAGATGAAGGAAAAAGAGTACAACATCATTTTTTATAATTATTTAAAGAGTTCATTAACTTTCTTATTTAAGAGAAGTAAGTTGCCACATATCAATGCCATAAGTAAGTTGGTGATGGTTTCACAATGGGAGAGCTTTGATGAAGAGATCAGCAAGATTATTTATAGATTCAATTTTCTTAATTATAAGTGCTTGATCAGTAATCAAGTCATGGGCATAATTAAAATATTTTGGATCAATATGCTTTGTTCTTTTGCCTTTAATGAAACCAACTTGTATCTATGCAATATGAAGATTATTGCCTTCATGTAAGATAGTTGGAGAGTCATCATATGAAAATCCACATGTTGTTTGAAAGAATTTATTAATTGATCGTAACCAAATACATTCTTAAGATGCTTCATGTAAGGCAATAATTTCTCCATCTTTGGATGAAGTTGTAGTTATAGTTTGTTTTACTAATTTCTATGATATTGCACCTCCATGTCTTAAAAATACATATCTTGTTTGAGATTTAGCTATTTTAATATCAGATTTATATCTTATATCACAATATCCAATAAATTTTTGATCTGCATATTGTATGTAGTATAATCCCAAGTCTTCAATACCTTTTAATTAATGTAATAAATGTTTGATGCCATTCTAATGTTGTAGTATTGGACGTGTACTATGTCTTGCAAACACACTAACTGCAAATATAATATTTGATCTTATAGATGTAGCTAAATACAAAAGTGCTCCAAACTCTGCGAGGTATGGATATTGATGTCCCAATATTTTCTCCTCCTCTTTGCATGGACGGTATGGATTATTACCATCATGACCACGTCCAACCATTGGTGTTGACAATGGATAAGCATCAATCATATTGAATCTCCACAAAATTTGTCTAATATACATTAGTTGATAGAAAAAAATGCTACCATTTGTGAGATGCATAATCTTAAGTCCAATATAGAAAGTTGTTTTTTTTTGACATTTTCATCTCAAATTCACAGATAAGTAGGTTAATAACTACAATACATGTAGATTTAATACTCACTAGGTTAAGATCATCAACATATACAGTGATGATCACAAAACTAATTTTACCTCATTTCATAAACAAACAAGGAATTAGTAGATCCCTTAGAAACTTATATGTAATTAAATAATTTCAAAGACATTGATACTGCATGCGTCCAAATTATTTTAGACCATACAAGGCCTTACATAATTTAATACCACTATATCATCCTAGAGTAGATCCATTTAGAGTTCCTATTTCTAAATTATGTAGAACTTTCATATAAATATCTGCATCAAATGAATCATACAAATATGCAATTATCACATCCATGAGATGCATTTCAAAGGTGGCAAGAACTGCCATTCCAATAATATATCGGAATGTAATTGAATCCATGACTAGAGAATATGTGGATTCATAATCAATGTCAAACCTTTGAGTAAATCCTTAAGCAACAAGATGAACTTTATAGTGTATTATTTGACCTTTAGTATCTCGCTTGCGTATTAATACCATCTTATATTCCACAGGGCAAGAAGTAAGAGTATCCACAATTGGACCAAAGACTTTTCTCTTATGCAAAGAAGTATACTCTTCCTCGATGATAGTTTTTCATTTTAACTAGTTAGAGTGACAAGTTGCTTCCTCGATGCTTTGAGATTTAGGATCGTCTTCCTTACAAGAAAGAGCTTCTATAATCATATATGAAAATGATTCATCTATCGTAATAGATGGTCTGTCCCAAATATTGTTTGTAGCACAATACAAAAAAAAAAAATTCTTTACTCAACTCGATCTTATTCTTTCCAATTCCAGGATTATTTTTCACAGGATTTGAAGGTACATTATGCATGGATATATCATCATGAATTGGCAGTCTTCTAGGATGAATAGAAATTTCTTGAGAAATAATATCAAAATTAGTCAATATTATAGCTTTCTTCTTATGTGGTTGCTTATCTCATCCACAAGTTCTTTTAGTTGTTGTTATTCTTGTAACTTGAGGTATTGTAGTCAATGGCACTGCAATCTAAGCAAGTGCATTCTGAGCCTCATTAATAGGAATTCTTATAATCCTAGATGCATCATTGAAGTCATCATGTGTTTTATTTGCAATCCGTTTTAGATGCAAAATCTTAGCAACTTCAGTTTCAGCCAAAGATGTCTTAGAATCAAGATTCATTGTAAACATTTTCGATGCTTCAGATATAAGTACTTTATTTCATTGTTGATTAGATACTCTTCCTTGAAGAGATGGTAATACATTCTCTTCAAAATGACAATTTTGTAAACGTGCACATAATAATGTGCTAGTTGATAGATCAATAATACGAATAATGCTTGGTGAATCAAAACCAACATATATGCCTTCTTGTTGATGAGCTCCAATAGTATGTCGTTAAGATTCTGGTACTAGAATCCAAGTACGGCAACCAAATACTCGTAAGTGAGATACATTTGAAACACGACCTAAAATGAGCTCATATGGTGAAACAATTTCAAGAAAAGAAGGACGGAGACGTATTAATGCTGCACCATATAAAACTACATGACCTCATATAGATGCAGGTAAATTTGTGTGAAGAATGAGCGGCTGGGTAATGAATTATATATGCTTTATAAATGACTCTGCAAGTCCATTTTGAGTATGTTCATATAGAACACAATATATCAACTCAATTCTTGTTGTAGTACAATAGTCTTTAAAAGACTTTGATGCAAATTCTTTTGCATTATCTATATACAATGTTTTTATAGAATAATTAGAAAAATGTATCCGAAAATAAATAAGTATAGATATAAGATTGGCAAACACTATGTTTTGGGTCGATAATAATGAAATATGTGTTTGTTTATTTGATGCATCAACAAAGATCAAAAAGTAACAAAATGGTCTTGATATTGGATTAATAGGACCACAAATATAATCATGTAGTCTTTCAAGCATTAGTAGTAATTCTTATAGGAGTTTCCAAATTAAAGGTCGACTAATCATCTTGTCTTCCACACATGCACGACATAATTCCATAGAGTCTACATCTACAAGCTTTAAATTGTGCTAAGTTATACATGAAATGATCTTTCTAAATAATGTAGATCTTGGATGTCCCAATTATCTATGCCAGAAAGAATCACGACTCTCTGTGATAGATGATGTAAAATTAAATATAATGAGAGTCCAAATCACAATTTGGTATAAACCATTTTTTGTAGCAAAAGTTTTTTCAACAACTTTATGGTTCTTCACAAGAATTAAAACCTCTGTTCTGTTTAAAATGGCGGTCGAGAGGTGATAACCATAGATATGCACATCTCAGTAGCTAATCAGACTCAGAGGTGTTGAAGGTGCAAACATTGCATGTTTACATTTTATGATGGAATTTACAGGTAATTTTACCATCATTGTGTTCTCTTAGAAACGAAGCGCATTTGCTCTAGCCATGGTCATCATATTTTTAGTTTGCCAAATTGAAGATTTTTCAATAAAAAATCGTCTATCCCGCAAGATAGTATGTATTATTGTAGAATAATGAGCACATCATTTGATTCATCATTAGAGGTTTTGTCATTCATATAAGCCTTTAAATCATCAACATCAATTGAATCCATGGACGCATCCATGGTATGAACTTCATGAGCCTCAGCTCGTAGTTTCTTATTTTCTTAGAATATTTTAATAAAATACTTTGAAGTATAGCACACATGTGCTAAATGTCTAATCATTCCACATTATAGTAAGAACACATCTCTCATTTTTATTTTTTATTATAATTAACAGTAGAACATTTATTCTTTCTATATATGTAAAAATGGTCATGACTATGACTACCTTGATGCTTATGAGGACCTTTTCCATGTTTAAATAATTTTTTCTTAGACTTTGAAATATTACGTACATGAGATTCTGGAACTATGGTTCCAATAGGACAAGCTTCCGCATTGCATAAGAGTAGCTCATTTTGCTTTTCCATAAGAAGTAGATAGGACATGAAATCAGAATGACTATGAAATTCTATGTTCTTATATTATTGTGCAAGCTTAGCAGATACAAGAAGAAATGTAGAGAGAGTTTTCTCAATCATTTCTTCTTTAGAGATGCTTTGTTTATATAATCGTAATTGTGAGACAATACTATACATTTCACTATTGAAAGCATTTAAATTTGGAAAATCTAAGACACATAAATGTATCCAATTATGATGTGCATGTGGAAGAAAAATGGTCTTTTGATGATCAAACCTGGACTTAAGATTCTTCCAAAGTTCTGTAGGATCTTTCAATTTTAATTATTAATGTTGTAATGCAAGTAGAAGATGATGACAAATGATAAGTGATTTTCAACGGATAGCATGAGGAATAGAAATACTTATTGTAAGAGATTCTTCAAAAATGATAGCATCTGAGAGTTGTTCTACAAATAAATTTACTTTTACTATTTTTGTCTATAATAGATAATTATTTCCATCTTTAATAAATGGTGGAAATAGAAGAGCTTGAAAATGTTGGGATGCATTGATAATAGTTGGAACCATAGTAGAAGCAGTTGAAGATGTTGAAGCACTCATTATAAATAAATATGTAAAAAAAATACAAGATCAAGTAGAAAAGTTGAATAAAATGTACCTTAAAATATAAAGTCAAATAAAATGATAAAGTTGAATTTGAAATCAAAAATATTTATTTATTTATTATTATTATTATTATTTTGAATAAAGTTGTAGATTGTGGTAGCAAAGTAGGAGCTACATGGCGGCAACGGCAGTCAATGGCGGCTATTCAATGATAATTTGGAGGCAAACATGGGATGCAACAGGGAAGCAGGGTTGGAACAAGTACTCTAAGCAAGCAAGGCACAAAGTGTAAGAAGTGCTTTAAGCAAGCAACCAAGGAGTGAGGGGCCAACAAGAAGTACAACAAGATTATGACTTACACACCAAAGTAGTAAAAAATCACACTGAGAGCAAGAGTAGCAATAGGTTTGAAAAGTCAAGATTAAAGCAAAATATTGTGATAGTGTATAGGAGCAAATCATGCAGATAATGTGTTGAGGATGTTTAGAAAGATACAAGAGTAGTACTAAGTAATACACACACAAGAGAGTTTCTAAAGAGAGAGAGAGCTTCACACAAAAAAATCTATTGATCTGGTTGTATCTTGTGTACAAGGGGAAGGGGATAAACAATTTCTCTCTACTACATTCCAAATACTGTAGCTACAGTATTTACTGTATTTACTATAGACTACAATAAATATCATGGAGAACACAAGCTACATTTAATGCTCTCAACAAAATGAGAGGCCTAATGAGAAGCCTATTGATACTTTTACATGGCATGTGTGGCGATTCTCAAACCTTTTAACAGTTCAAAACACCACTTCATGAAGTAGATAATCTTCAAACAGAACAAGCAAAATCATGCAACCCTGGACAGATAGGCCACAGTCCAACACAAAAGAATTAACAAAAGAAACCAATCAGTCAAAAACAAGTAATGGGTCCTAGAAAAACCCTCAATAGTTGTAGGCACAATTGCACAGCTCCAATGTTGAAAATCAGCTAAGTGTTATTTCAGAGTAAGTTCACCTAGAAAAGGATCCAACTTAGTTATATCGTATTCCTATGTTTATCTTCAGAAAAATGGTTACCCATGAAGGAATTCAAATTCTTTTAGCTATTGTACAGCAGACTCCAGGCCTGCCCCTGTCCATGGTAATTTGGACTGCTGAGTTTGCTTTACGCGACTGTTATTCACCGCAAAAACTACTCATCTTGCAAGGCTCCAGAAAAAGGCGATTCACAGAACATCATCATCTTGCACGTGGAGTAGCTGGTAAGAATTTTACAGCCTTTGTTATGAGTCACTGAGCTGATGATTCTAGCGGTTGCTAATATGTCCACTCCGTCGGCAAGCAAGGCTCACGAACCACAGGTTGGGGGAGATTTACTCGATGGAAAGTGGGCCACAACTTGCCTTTCGACGTTTTCACATGCGACCCCACCCTTGCTTCACATCCATGCATGGGAGGGCTCAATGGAGAGACTTCTGCAGGAATGGTTACAGACACTTTTTTGAGTATTGTGAATTCATCTTCACTAAGACAAGGATTTCACGTGCCAGATATGTTCCAAGGTTGAGAACCTGATCCATGGTATTGTCAAGCTGGACAAGGAAGCAACACTTACCAGTTTTTTTCTTGTGTTCGGGGGCACTAGCAAAAGTGCGGGGTAAAAAAACTCCAGTTCCGGCCTCTTTTCCGGATACTGCTCCAAGAAAAACCACCTGCACATTTGAACCGCCGTTCGGAAAAGTTTGACGATTCCTCTGGAAGCAATCATAATCTATCAACTTTCCAGGAAGACGATGGTTGTTGACAGTTTGTTGATAGTCGGGACTAAATGCTTGTTGGCGTGGTTGATACTGAGGATATTGACATCGAACTTGGCTTGCCATCGTGTTCATCGCCGCACCTTTCGAATGCCAGTTCATTTGGGCCTGAACCAAACAATCCAAATGCTACATTATAAACATCCGCGTAGGGCTAAATAGATCCACAAACGGAGAATTTTTATATAAATAACTATATGTCCAAATGTCCGCAAATTTAATGGATGTTAACTGCTAGCTAATAACCAGCTATTAGAGACACTTGACCCTACGCTTGCTATATTGACATTCACAACTACGTCATTTGGCAAACCTCTATTACCTGACTGTTCACCATTGGATTCTCTTCTTTCCTCCTCGCAGACTGGGAGCTTGTGCTCCTTCCTTGTAGGTGGCCGGAGGTTCGATTATGTGGATTTAATTGGGCTCGCAAGGCTTGCTTCTCAACCTTAGTCTGAGAAGGCCTCTCAGTGGAACAAGCAGGTATGCCCTTCCTCTCATTCATTTTCAATCTTTCGACTTCTACGGCTGCTGCATCAAGAGTATCCCAAGCATCTTGAAAGTCACACGAAGGCACTGAAGAAGGAGACGAAACTTGAGACGATGTTCTTGAGGACCCGTTAGAGCTACTTTGGCCACCTGTGAGTGGGGGTCCGAGGGACCAACCACCGTTCAACAAATAAGAGGGAGACACTCGCTCCTGCATTGCATACTTGTCAGACACTTGTAGATGCATCATGAATATCGAGATTTGATCTGTTGACTGATAGTTGAAAAATGAATAGCAAATCGGAGGAGCAAAAACATGGGATTCTAGGACGCATTCACAGCTGAAAGTAAAGGAACTGAGGATTGACGTGATAGGACGCGGAGAGCTTGGCCTTCCGAAAGACGAACAAGGAGTATCAAGTAGGGGCACGACTAAAGATGGATATTGCAAACTACCCGACCAAGTGTCCCAAAAGATACAATAGTGAAGCGACTCAACAACAAATAGGTGCTGATGCTCACATCTGCACTTAATAAATTCTGAGTCTCAAGAGTTCCTTGAAGGACTCCAGAGCATGTTTCAGCTTTCGCATCCTCCTCGCCTAGCATCAATTGTGCAGTCTGTTGTGCCAAGCATTGAAGAATATCATACCCTTCGTCGCTCTCTGACTCGGTGCAGAGAAGTGATGACTCGGACAGCGGATTACTCTTTTCAACCTCTTGGTGGAAGCCCCGTGAGTCGGAGGAAAAATCAGCAGGACACTGCGTAAGAACACAAGCGCCCTCTGGGTTGTAGGAATGTCGAGGACTCGGGTCTGTTTCACTAGAATGGTTGACATTTCTGAAGGGGCCGAAAACATCCCTGCCTTCAACTCTTGAGCAAATCAATTGGTGTACTCTGGCCACCTCAAAAGCCATTTCTATAATCTTACTGATCGGTTGCACCCAGTCGCCTAGCAGCGCAGCGCAGCGTAAAAGGAGCGTAAGGAGAGCTTCTCATGAGCCCTGGACAATGAAGAACATGTGCAATTCCTCTGGCAGACTCACTTTTCAATTACACTTCGTTGGAGGTTAGATGGTGTTGGAGAGGAAATGGGATAGCTCCGTCTACATCAATAATAAAAACCTCCTGGGGGAGTGTAACCTTTCACTGCAGAAAACAAGAACATTATTTCTCAGTGCCCACGTTCAAAGCTCATTCGAAGCTTCTAACTGCAGAAAGAATAATAAGTACACGGCTTCAAGCATATGTGCGTCCGTTTCACAGAGACTACCCCAAACAAGATACCTCATGTGTAGGGATCTACTTCGAAAACGACAGTAACAACCGCTCAGTAGCCACTCCCACGGCTAACTTATAAACCCACTGTGTGATAATACAAGTTTCTTAACTAGAGTATTTCTCACACATCTGCATAAAAGAAGGTGACATTTTTTTATTTTTTTATTTTTTTCTTCTTTCTGGTTGACGGTTCCGTTGTCTTTCTAAAAATTTGCCAAGTTCGTCTCAACATGCCCAATACCTTTCAACTCTTGAGAAACTAAACGTCGAATATCCTAACGTTCGCTTAATTACAGTTCCAAGCGCATTCAGCACGCGAGCGCAAGTTTCTCCAGCTTGTTGAACTTCGCAAGAGGTCTCTATGCGCTACTCTCCAAGTCGAAACTCTCTTGTGACGTCAAGATAACAGTAGCGACCTCTCAAAACTACGCGTTCCTAACCGCACTCCGAATTCTACCCGAAGCATGTAGACTTGTACAAGCCCAGCTGTCTCGCATTGATGTCAACTTGAGCTGGCAGTAAGAATCGCTCTCAGAAGTGAGTGCAGGTCAGCTCAATTCAATAGCCTCTAAGTATTCCCTAAGAAGCGATATCGAGTAAAGAAGGTGCTTAATGCAGTAGCATCGACCCAAGAAGCTGACTTGAGAGCAGCCCATCTACGACGATGGCAGCGGGTTGCAGCGATCAACACCTTTGTAGTGACTGACGGCACGCCGCCGCTCAACGATTACCAAACTCAATACGACACCACCGTCATGGCCGCCACCATTTCTCCCCGCCGCTACCACAACCTAAACCCCTCACACCGAGCTCACACAAGCCCAACTCTCTCCCTCGCATTCCCTCTTGACCAATAAGCTAACTCGCTTATTCCACTGTACCATTCCCGCACACTAGTACATCTCTCATTGCCAATCAAATCAGCCGTCAAAAAAAAAGTTACGACTGACTTACTCCACCACCGCAACAAACACATGTGCTTCTCCCACCCGCCAAAAAATCGTTTGATCTTGTACTAAGATATGTTAATATATAGGTATGAGATATATGTGTGAATTGCTGCTGGGGGGGGGGGGGAGCGGGAGAAAGTCGAGCTCACAGCTCACCATTTCGTGGGTCTCCTGAACTGAAGCTTCGGCAGACATCAATACATGCAACATGGCGGATCTCCGCTCCTCGGCAGTTATTGCAGCTTCGAGATATTGATTGTGGAGAGTGGCGGCTCCAGGCCCACCGTCCACAAGTGGATCCCAACGCTACAAAATGAAGAGTTGGTGGCTCTTGAAAATGGCCCCCATGAGCTCGCACTCCCTCTCGCTCTCTCTCTCTCTCTGTCTTTCTTCACCTGCTTCTCTTCGCCGCTTCAACTTGCGTGGCAACGACAAACCGCCGCCTCGATCCCTGCACTCCGCGCCCCAGACGCAGGATTTTTCCAAAGTGTACTTTGTTCTAATTCTTTTATCTTATTTTGTTAAGTTTCTGCATTTATTCTTTCGATGAATCCCCTTCGATTGACTACCAACACCTGGGCACGGCCATCTCAAGATCCAAGCAATCTCACTCCCTCGATCCCCCAAAACTGGTCCGGACTTTTCTGCGTCGCGGTAAAAAGTGGCCCACTCCGGATTGGCTGCGACTGCTACGATTCCGTGCGGATATGAGAGCCGTAACAATCGGGCCATGCGCAGGACGCACAAGACATGAACTAGGATTGCGATCTTTAAGATTAAGAACAGATGCAGCCATGTCATGCTGCCCACTCCTGCCCTTTCGTCGCCATGCCCCTCGTCTCTCGTGCATGGAAACACTTCGCTTCGCCATCCCCAAATCCTAATCTCCCTTCTCCCCAAACCCTAATTCCCCCAATCCCAAACTGCAGCGTGGATAACCTGGTGTGCTTGTGAGACAATACGGATTGCTCACTAATCAAGATTCGAATGGCTTTGGGTGGGGCTGTCATTTGAGTTCTTGGGTTTAAATATATATATATATATATATATATATCTTCTCTTTCTTTTTATGTTAAAATTTTATGTGCTTGTGAACATTTGAGTATCTCTCTAGTAAAATGCACCACCACATGATTGGTAATTCAACAACTCCAATATGCAAAAAGAAATCACCTTTTAATTTTTGCTTATTTTGATGCATTAATTTCTCAAAGTGTATTGGTACATCTCTTTGATGGTTCTAAGTCAAATCTAATAATATGCATGTGTACAACATCTTTATGTAAGTTTATGTGACTAAGTAAATTTAAAAAGTAAAGTCTTTTTGACCATTAGGTTTTTGCCAAAAGTATTCAAAATATATCAAAAGCTTATCAATTTCCATTTTGTTGAACAAATTAATATATCAATAGTCCTAGAAATTGCAAAGAACTTAAGAAGGTGATCATTCTAAAGTATATGACTTGATATACATTAACCTTGTAATCTAAACTTATCATAGAAAACAATGAAACTTGAAGAACTCTCACATTAATCTATTAATCATTGCTAACCAATGCCATTCAAAATACTATGTCTAATTTGTACTTCTAATCCAAAGAAGTGCAATTGAAATAGCTACCAATAGAATTAATTTGGAGATGTGGGGATGACAAACAACACATATGTATGTATTGATTGAACAAAAGATTTGGTTCTTTACCTTGCATTTGGTGCCTACTTTGCCAAGTTTGCAATTGTTTTATTGACATGGTTATTTGATTCTACTATCTTCTTTATAAAATCATTTGCATGTTATTCTAAAGAACATATAAGAAAATGGTCATAATATGGGCCTTTATTGATTTATGAGTTCTTAAAAGAAATAAATCACAAGGATCTTAAATATTACATAAAATCAAATAAAATAAAGAATATTAATATTTTATCTAAATAAAATTAATAAAATAAATAAATAAACACATACATATAAACATACATATATGTATATAATACTTGATAAAAAATATTTAATGACATTTTGTCAAAGACAAGAACATAATAAAAACAAATAAACAAGTGAGACTTCTCTCAAAGAAAGATGACAAAATATAAATAACTTGATATGTATATTAAAAAAGAAACTGGAATGGCTATTGCCAAAAGCTAAGAAAATTAGAGACCCTTGAAACTAGACTGAAAGCAAGAAAGGAATTGACAAGAGTGGAGAAGGCTTCACTCTTGTCTCTATATATACTATCTAACTAGGGACCTCGTGGCGACGTTCTTTAGGACCTTCAATATGTGTTGACTTTATAGGACACATGCCTTGACTTATAACACAAGTTTTTCTATGTATAGGCCACATTATTAGCTTGGTCTTGTAGCTAACAACATGTGTGGCACATGGCCAACTTGTTGACCACGTTTCTAATCCAAAAAGTCAATTAAAGACACCAATAAAGTCAAAGCGACTTCTATAAAGCTTCTACAAAGCTTTTATAGCAAATACTATAGAATTAACTTACTTTTACTTACTTCTATCTATTTATATGTGTAATTATTGCCTTACATGCGTATGTTTGTGATATTACCCTTCCTTCTAAGGATGAGTCTCATGAGGAGCGATCATCATATGTTGAAAAAATCTATGATGCGACGAATTGTATTCGCCACATACTTTGATCTTTGTTTTCTTCGAAGATGATTGATAGGGCCTCTCAACCATCAATAGTGTCCCATACCAAGGCTGAAAGACCACCCAATTGTTTGATCGTTATTGATGCCTTCATAACTTCCTTCGAATAAAACATTTGGAACACCTTCAAGAGTTGTTCCTACCTCTAGTAAAATCACCAAACATCGGGAATCCCTTCTAAGGTCGTTATATCAAACGCATTATATCTCGCCATCTATTCAAGGAAGAACATGTCATTCTTCAAGATCTTCATCTTGATTACATTGTCTTGAAGGTTGTGACAATCGTAATGTTTCATCCGAAAGGTCATCAAACGAAGGCTCTTGAGTCGAATCCACTAGTTGTTAGTTCTCCTTCTCCTCAGCATCACAACTACAAAAAAGCTACAAACAAGGATTGAAAGTAGAATGTTATCTTGCTTAGATCTTTTTTCTTTTATAAGGAAGGTTTTCATCTTGATTTTGATGGATGTTGTCGATGAAAAACCTCCACTACCTTTGCTGCATTTACAAAATTCTTTACTGACTCCCATGTGCATTCACTAATATCATATCCACGCCAATGGACAAGATATTTTAATTTATCTGCGTTGCCTTGAATCTAAGATTTCTTCCACTTCAAACACTTCATTATTGTCTATTTCTATAGGAGGAGGTGGAGCTTGTCTTCTTCTTGGTATGTCCACTGTCTTGTATGATTCAAGAAGAGACATGTGGAATACTAGATGGATTTTCATTGACTCCGATAGGTATAAACAATATGTAACTGGATTGATTTGTGCAGAAATAGAAAATGGTTCAAGCCTTCAATAGTCCAACTTGTCACAGGGATCAGTAGTCTTGATATTGCGATGAAGTAATCATACCTTTTTACCCATGTGGAATGGTGGTTGTTCCTTTTGATAGACATCCACATTGACCTTTTATTGTTCTTGAGCTTCTTTTAATGACGTCTTCATCATTGTATGTAGCTTTGTCAAATAAATTGCCAAATCTTTTGCAACAAGCTTATCAACTTTTGAAAACTCAAAAGTATCAAGTTGTGGATGATAGCCATAATTGGCAAAGAAAGGTGTTTGTTTTGTAGAAGAATGTATGGTGTTATTGTAAGCAAATTCTGCCAATGGCAAAAGAATTGTCCAATCATCTTGTTGGTAGTTAATGGTACATCTTAAATACTGCTCTAAAACTTGATTAAGACGCTCCGTTTGTCCATCAATTTGAGGATGGAATGCGGAAGATAGTTTTATATCCGCTTTTAGAATCTTGAAAAGAGTCCGCCAAAATCTTGATATAAATTGAGTTCTCCTATCTGATATAATATCCTTGGATAATCCATGATAGCGATAGATATTGTCAAGAAAGAGCTTAGCTGTTTCTTCACTTATGATAGATTTTGTACATAGTACAAAATATACCATTTTGGTAAAACGATATACTATCACAAATATAGAGTCATAAGAATTTGAGATTTGAAGATTCGTGATGAAATCCATAGAAATAGAAGATCATGGTTGTTCTGGAATGGGTAAAGGCTGAAGAAGTCCGTAAGGTCGATGACAAAGAGTTTTTAATCTCGAGCAAACATCACAAGATTGTACAAAATCTTTGACTACTTTGCATATTTGGAGCCACTAAAAGTCCCTAGATATTAGTTCCAAAGTTTTATTGTACCCAAAATGTCATGCTGTTGGAAAGTCATGACGAGCTTGAAGAACACGTAATCGAGCTTCACCTTCTAGAATATATAGGCGTCCCTCAAAATATAGTTGATTCTTCTTGAATTCAAACTTGGAAGTATCATGAGACTTTGAAGGATTTTCCTTAATATCACGAATAAGAGGATCAATAGACATACTTGACTGAACTTACTTAATAAAAGTTGAATCAACAGTTAGTGTTGATTTCATTGCTCAAAGATGAAGATGCTCTGGCTTCAAGAGAATTGTCCATTGTTGTCAAAAGCAACATCTTCTTCCTTTGGTGCAAGTTAAGATTGTCTAGAGAGTACATCTAACAAACCTGGTTGTTTTCCTAGTGGATAAGTGATCTTAAATTTGAATCTTGACAAAGACATAGTCCAATGGGCTTAGCAACAATTCAAAATACGTGCTAACATAAAATATTCAAGGTTCTTGTAATCCGTATATATTGTGACTGGGTTAGAAGCACTTTCTAGATAATAGAGCCTTTCTTGAAACAAATCCATGATTGCAAGAAGTTCTTTATCATAGATCTCATAGTTGATCTCGGTTGCTAAAATTTT